CCTTGCCTCCCTACGACTGTGATTTCATGCAACTATTGTATAATAATATGATGCAATAGCCTTCAAAAACCATGTTAGAGACATTTGTTTGATCTAAATTATAAAATATACACTATTTTCATTCTAATAAACAATCACAGAAAAGAAAATTAGAGAATGCAACCTAGAAAGTATTATTTTAGCCCAATTAACATAGACCTTCCATTTTGGTGAGATGCTTAGATCTTGGCCTTAGAATGATCATTTTCCTTTCAAATTTTTTAATTAATTTTATTATCATTAGATTAACAATATTAAAAAATAAAAAAAATTTTAAATTCATTAAGACGTAGATCTTGAAATTCATCAAATGGACGGTCCAGATTCATTGTTCGATGGGACTCATTTTTACTATATATAGGGTGCAAATTAGTTTTTCTTTTTTTAGATTGATTATTGAGATGAAATGAGTATGTGTGCAAAATTTTGGATTATACAAATACCATAAATATGATTTTCTAGAAATATAGTTGAATTATACTATGATACAAGCGTTTCATAAAATCACTAACGCTTTATATTTATAGAGTACAAGGTGCTCCTTCAGGTAAGTTACCTCGAGGTTGGATGGAGCACTTGTTCAAACATCAATCTCCTTGTGAAGAACAAAGGTGAAAACAGAAGAAAACATTATCCATATTGTGATCAATTTAACATTACAAAACCCCTCCTTTTATGAAATGAGTCTTTCGTGGAAGCCCTACTATTTATCTTGAATGATTTACCAAAAACAAAACCTTTTACAGGTATGTATCTGGAATCCTTTATAAATTTGTTAGAACAGAATAAAGAACACAAAGCAGTTCCTTATGACCAAAATACAAAATAAACAAGATGTCCTGAAATAAAAAAATAATATAAAACAAAAAAAATAAAAAATAAATAAAAGAACTGGTCAGATCTCTAAAAGAATTTAAAAATATCGTAAGTTTGAAAGACAAATTTTGTGAAAATTAACAAAACATGTAGATTTCAAACTTGGAATCCTTCGTCAAAAGAGCATGCAAGAGTGCAAAGAATGGAACTTGCAGAGATGCCATGATCCACGTGCTCGTATTGATTGGGGACAGTTCAACAACAAAGTCAATGAGATGGATGCAATTGCACACCCTCTTTTCTCATTTCAAAATAACAAGCATTGAAAACAGAATTTAGCAATGAGGACTCTCTAATAATGCAATTGCAGCTCAAGGGGAAACGAAACAGACACTTTATCGTCCCCGATGAGCACCGTGCTTACTCCAGCCGGCACAACTTGGTACGCCGTCTCCTCCACCACAGTGAAACTCTGGCATCCATTCAGCTTAAACTTCACCACCTCACTGCCACCCGCGGACACAAACACCCTCTGAAACCCGACGAGCTGCTTAAGGGGCATGCCTAACAACCCGGAAGGCGGCACAGTGTAAACCATGACCACATGGCTGCCACCTATCGTGCCGACATTTTGCACTATGACTTCGATCTCAAAGGTCTTAGCACAACTCAAATCAGAAACAAGAGCGGCAGGGCACGGGGGTGGTTTGACACTTTCAGCGTACGATAGTTGTCGACATTGTACATACTTCCCCAAGTGGATCGCCAGGCTCTTGGTTGCAGTTTTTAAGGTGTAGTTAAAACTAGTGTAGCTCAGGCCGTAACCGAAGGGGAAGAGGGGTTTGCCAGAGAAGAACTTGTAGGTTCTTCCGGGATATCCCAAATCATCGATGGGTCTCAACGGCATTGATGTCATGGGGAACTGGTGTACGTAGTCTGCTTGGTACCATGTGATGGGGAGCCGGCCACCTGACAAATTTTGAGTTGGAACCCATTAATAAATAGTGACATATCTGAAATTCCACTCTTCCTCTTGCTCAAGTAATGAAATGCCAAGAATTCACTAATAAGATCAATGAAGTGATTGAAAGCACTTTTTATCTCTTTCTAAATAGAACGCAAAATAGCACCCCCAATGTAGCTAGAATTGTATCCTTTTCCCAATATAATACAAAAATAGCATCCTAATGCAGAAAGACATTGACATAAATGAGAAGAGAAACTAAGGCTACTCATTTTACAAATGAATAACCATGTGCTAAAAATAGAATGGCAAAACAATATTCATATAGACTACACCAAAAAGTTGGGATAAAGCTCAGATGATCATGAATAGAAAAATGTTTGCGATGAAATTTCGAAGAACGAGTTTCGAAAGGAATGCCTCAAACTTCAAGTGGTCTTTTGCATTTATGACAGTCCTGGTTTAATCCTTTGAAAGCTAATCTAAGATGTGCCTTTTCTTACTTTTTTTTCACTCTCATATAAGGGGACTTTTTTTTCGAATTTTGAGATCCTTTGGACAAAATGGAGAAAATACTTCAGTTGTAATTCTAGAAAAGAAAGCTTCCACTAGGATAAACAAACTATTGCACAGGGGAAACAAAATGAACCACAAACCTGGATTGTAATGCCCATAGATTACATCAGCGATGGCACGCCCTCCTTCACCACCCGGATAACCGGCCCACACAACTGCAGATACGTTGGGGTTGTCCATGGCAAAGGAAATATCGACACCTCCAGCAGACAAAATGACCAAAATGACAGGCCCCTTGGCGGCATCCGCAATCTCACTGATCAATTGATGTTGGTAACCGGGAAGGAGAAGATCATTCCTATCACGGCCTTCAGCCTCCACCGACAAGTCGATTCCCATGAGGAGGATGGTGGCATCAGCGTTTTTTGCTGCCGTTACAGCCCGATGAAACAGGGTCATGTTCAGGCAATTTATGTCTGCACATCCAGGTTCATAACTTACATTGGCATACTCTGAAAGTCCTATGAGAGGGGTCATATTTCTACACGGATATCCTGCAAATGAGAACACAAACAAGAATTAAGGAAATCGATCTGTAAAACTCAAAAAGTAGTAGTAATGGGGAAGTAAGAATCATTTTCACCCCTTTACTTACCTTCATAATTCCCGATCATCGCATTGGAGGCATTGCCATGGGGACCGACCACCACGACATTCTTATGTTTGAGCTTGTTCAGAGGAAGGCCACCCATGGAATTGTTGAGTAGGACTATGCCTTCCCTAGCAGCCTCTGCCGCTAGCTCAATATTGGAGTCAGAGCACACATCGGACTTGCCGAGGCCTGCATAAACAGGGCTTCCATCAAAAAAGCCCAGCCTCATGAGTACCATGTACAAATTGTTCAAGGCCTTATCAATGTCAGCCTGTCTGACCTTGCCCTGGGAAACTGAAGAATTGGTGTATTTGGTGAAATAGAGTCCACAGTCCAAATCCAATCCTGTAACCACCAGCCCACGATGTAAAATTAAATCACAAGCGGATTGGTAAGTAAAAAAATTACCAATATATATGTTTGGCATAGCAGTATCAAGAATAAAATCCAAGAAGAGGATAATCGCATCGGAGGTTCCTGCCTGCTCGGAGGGTTTGTGCCACAGTGTCCTCTGGGGTGTCATTGAGGAATTTGTGGCCATGATGCATCACTTCCAGTGAATCACAGTCAGAAACAATATACCTATAACAATTGATTTCAAATGGGGCAAAGTTATATGAGGTGAGGATCATAGCACCACAATCAGAAGTTGGCAAACATGTAGAAGGAAAGAACAGAAGTTGGCAAACATGTAGAAGGAAAGAATAGGGAAAAAACTGGGATATGAAGACGAGAAAAAAGAAATTGCATATGCTCCATCACTCACCCATGGAGGTTCCATTCTCCTCGAATGGTCTCTGAGAGAAGCTTGGGATCTGCGCATGTAGGTATGCCATTGACCCTGTTGTAAGAGCACATGACGCTGCTGACATCGCCGTCCCGCACACACATCTCAAAGGGGCGGACGAACGTCTCTAACATGTCCCTCTCTGTCACCTGCCCATCTCAAATCATCAAAAACCATGGAGACGAGAAGAATAAGCGACCATTGTTTAAAAGTAAATGAATCAATGGCATCCATGTTCTTACCCTCGCGTCGAAATGGTAGCGGTCGACACCTTGCCAATTATCGACATCATAAGCTGCGTAGTGCTTGCAGCATGCAGCAACTTTGAGGGGCCTTGTGTTCAAGTCCTCCTCTGTTGTGTTGGTGCCAGGAGTGGTTCCCTCGACATCTTGAAGGCCCCTGACATAGTTCACGGCGTAGCGTCCCACCGTATATGGGTCTTCCCCAGGTGTCTCCATGATCCTCCCCCATCTTGGATCCCTAGCCACATTGATATTCGGGCTCCAGAATGTTAGGCCAGCCAAACCCAGATTGTTCATGGCTCTGGCCTCGGTAGAAACCACCTAAAATGCACATACAAAAGGCATGGAACTTCAGCATCATTTTTTAGGATGATTTTGTATGATAGAGGTAAGCAGGTCTCTGGTTTAATGTTTCCACTTGGAATTAGGCTGCATGGAAATACGGGGTTAGCGTTGCTCAAGCAGTGTTTAAGGGTTAATCATCCTGGTTTGTACGAGGGAAGCCACAAAGACAATATTCATAAAATATTTTTCCCTTTTTTGTGGGTATGTGTGGTTTTTCCCAGCCTGCCAAATCCGGGTCTGGTACCCATAATAAAGGTACTATTTTTCAATCCACCTCGTGGCTTGGTCTCCGCCGTTACCCCAAGTGAGTAACTCGCCCAAGTAGGACCAAGATGCCTTTAAATATAAAAGAAGAAATTCAAAAAATTGCATAAAAAAAAAATATATCTAAGTAAAATAAATTTGAAGGAACTGTAAGAAATCCCATAAAAAAAAATATAAAACATCTGTTTATAAAAAAATTAATTTATGGTTGGTTTAAAAAAAATATTCAAAAAATAGGAAAATATAAAAATATGCCACATGACAAGAACAACTCTCAGTGTAGAAAAATTCTAAATTACATATATAATTTTTATGCATTGATTTAGGAGTTCTATATGTATTTATGATTTTTCTTTTTTTAAAGAGTGATTTACATACAGATTTCAAAAAAATACAAAACGCTCTATTTATAGGTGTAAATTACAAAGAAGGTCGGTCAACCCACCTTCTTTTTTTTTTTCCAAAATCGTTTCTCAATCTGAGGACATCCTCATACTGAATTCTAATTATTGTCTTTTAAATTTTTTCTTGTTAGTAGGGCACTTATCTACAAACAAAAAACCAAAAAAATAAAAATAAAATAAAATTCACACCAAGAATTCCATCATTGGATCGAAAGGTAATTTTGAAAAAATAAATAAATAAATAAAAAGACAAGTTGACTTTCGTTGTAATTATTGCCTATAAAGAAAGCATTTCATATTTTTTTAAAAAAAAAATTAGGATCCACCTATAAGTGGCTCTTTTTTATAGGTGGCTTTTTTTCTTTCTTTTTCTTAAGTGCACCGAGTAATCAGGTACTCACAAATGTTTTATCATTGCATTAAAGAAAAGAGAGAAAAAAGAGTATCGCTGCTCAGTGTCGACTCCTTTCACCTGGCCTATAGCCTTCCAGAGAGATTCATTGAAAGACGCTGCCATTAGGATTACTTCTGGGAAGCTGGTGGCAGCCGGGACGATATCGTCGAAGTGAGTTCCATGGCCAACATACGCCACTCCATGCAGAGCCTCCGACCACCAGTCGTACTTGGGGAGCCCCAGGCGAGGGACCCCGGTAGCTTGGTCCCCTATCTGCCCCACCTTCTCCACCAATGTCATCCTGTCGATCAAATCCTTCACGCGAACACCATACGATAACGACTTGTCGCAGAAGGGGAAGCTCTTCATGTCCAGGCCCAAGTCCTTAAACCTCAAATGATCGCAAACAATGGTCGGTCCTTGACCAGAGGTCAGGGTCACTGCTGAAGACGAGAGCCCAGTGCCAGGCCTTGCAGCCATAGTGAGTAGGGGAAGAATGGCTGCCCCCAGAGAGAGAAAGAGTTGGAAGGTTGCCATTGCCATTGATGAGAGGAGTAGGTGCTGTAAAATGTTTGAAGGATTAGGTCTCTACTTATGGGATAAAAAAATGCCTAAATTTGACGTGTCGTTTGATCTTATCCTCTTTCTCTCTCTTCTCACTCTCCTCTCTCTCTTGCTGGATGACAGATCAATTTGCTTAAAACGTTTTCGAGAATGCTTTCTGTTCATTTTAGGATGACAGATCAATTTGCTTAAAACATTTTCGAGAATGCTTTCTGTTCATTTTACTAAATTTAAAGGGTAATGTTTTGGAAAGTGAGGTGTAAGAGAAGACCAGGGGTTACATGGATAGATGACGGTTACCTGCAACTTTGAATAAAATCGGGTTAAGGCTTTGTTGTTCGCCTTTACGCTTTTCTGTTCATTTTTCTTTACAGTTGTTTTCTAAAAACCAGAATTTTTAAACCTTAATAGGAACCAACAGCGGTCTTAAGTCTTTCATATAAAGTTAGATGAAGATAACAATTTCATAGATACTATTACTTTATTATCTTAATCATCCATTAATAAGAAAGGTTAAAAAAGTAATTTTGAGATATTTGTTTTTTTTTTGAGATGGATCAAGGTTAAAAAAAGTAAATTTTGAGAGTTTTTTTTTTTTTGAAAGGTGATATGGTGAGAGATTATGGAAATTTTATTTCTCCTAATATTTCCTAATTTTCTTTTCAAATACCTAAAATTTTTGGAATGAATATATGCTCTTTTTAAGATATAGGTGAAGTTATGTTATCCCCAAAAAATTATGATATAGAGAGATTATGGAAATCTTATTTCTTCTAATATTTTCTATTTTTTTTTTTCAAAGACCTAAATTTTTTGGAATGAATATAGAGCTTTTCAACTTATCTTAATGTTGTAGACTTATCTAAATATGAATCCTAAATATAATTAAATTTAGAGATTCGTGTGTCTCTCTTATCCTTCCCACCGCACTAAGTATGAGACTTTATCTAGATAAGTCTAGGCACGTACTCTCTCTATTCAGAAGATATGCGATCTTGTACTCTCTCTCTCTTCCCTCTCTCACTCTTTTTATTTTCTAAGATTGCGCTCTTTCTCTCTCTCTTCGAGTTAGGAATCCTATTTTAAAAGATATGTTATCCCTTAAAATTTATGTGTTAGTTCTTCTCATAAAGTATATGTACTATCCCACTCTACTCTACTCTTTTTCTCTCTCCCCTTAGATTTAAGAATGTGTCCTACCGCCTCTATACAATTAGGGACCCTTCTTATTTTCGCGATAGGTGTCCACTTCTTATTTTCGCGACAGGTGTCCACCCCTTGACTCTTACTTAATACGTCAGGTGTCCACCTCTTAACTCTTGCTTAATAATGTAGCATAGATGGTTGGATTACATGTACCTGGATTACATGTGTTGCACACGTAAGAATAAACTATGAAAATATATATTAAAAAAAAATGATAATTTAGAAGCCTTTAGTAAAAATATAAAAATTAATCATGATAAATTTAAAACTTCACACTATAAAATATAGACTTATTAAAAAAATATTAAAATATATAAATATAAATTTTTACATCGTGATAAAGACAAAAAATTATTTTCTGACATTCTAAAATTTATAATAATAGTAAAAATTGGTTATGATTAATTTTGGATCCATAGTAATTCATCAAATTATATTTAAATTTTTTAAATGATGATATGTAATTTTTTTTAAAAAAAGTACAAATATTTTTAAACTAGAGTTTATTAATTTAAAATGTAAAATTTTAACAAAATTTTTTATGATGCATCAAAACTCCTAAATAAAATTATGGATTACGTGTGCTGCACCTAGGAATGAAATATAAAAATACATAAAACAAATCTCTTCATAATTTAAAGGATAATATTATTTTTTTGGGCAATATATGCAATGCGCTCGTATGATGATCGTACTATATCAAGATCACTATAAGCATTTAAAAATATCACGATATGTATCATTCATGCAATAAGAGTGCTCAAATCATATGTGCCATAGATATAGAAAATCACAATTTTTTCATTTCAAAAAGTTTATTCATATTTAAAAGAAGAAAAAAAAGGGAAAGCGCTAACCCGGTAAATAATTGCTTCGATTCAATGCTCTCAATGATTACCCTTGGCTACTCTTACTGTTTTGATAATATCTAATACGATTTTCTAATGAAGTATCATTTTTCAAAAAATTTACATGCATATCTCATAAGATTTTAAATGTGGAGGGATAGAGATATAGACCAAGTTGAAAGACAGAGAGCGAGAGGCTAGGATAACTAAGAGAGAGAGACATTAGGGTAACTAAAAAAGAGAGAGAGAGAGGGTAACTAAAAAAGAGAAAGAGAGAGAGAGGCTACATTGTAAATGTGAAGAGAGAGATGCTATAAAAAGATGAGCTTACATAAATATCTCATGTGGGATCATTTCCCAAAAATTTGCATGCATATCTAATAGGCTTTTAAATATGGAGAGAGAGTTGTCATCAAAATTTGCATATATATCAAAGGTGGATTAAATATGAAGAGAGAATGAGATGACATAAAACGAGGTGTTTATATGCATATCTTACAAATAATAATAATATAAAAAAAAAAAAAAAGACACTTATCAACAAAACAAGTAAAGTTGGGTAATGGGAGATACTTTCTTCAACAAAACAAGTAAAGTTGGGTAATGGGAGATACTTTCTCTCTAATGTATCAAATATCTTGTGGACTTTTTAATTGGAGAAAAAGTTTGGAAGCGATGAAGAGATGGATATTAAGCAATATAGAGTTGGTGAATTTATTTCCTTCTAAAGATACTCTTCTAAAAAAAGATGTACTATATCACCCATTTAGATCATCTCCTTAGATCGCTCTCCATCTATCTCATATCTTTATCTATTTTCTAACCCTATTTTCATCATCTACATTTTAAAAAGAAATTAGTCTATCTCGAAAATTGTGTGATTGGGTATAGAAGTGCTCTCTCTCTCACATTTGGTTTTCTAAAAATAACTCACATTGTTCAAAAAGTGACCAAAGATATGTAAGAGAGAAAAACACACTTTACACTATATATAATTTTAAAAAAATGGAAGAATCTAAAGTTCTTCAAAATCTGACCGAATGCTCTTAGAATTTGAGATTTATCTTGCTTTTTATTGACTTAGATAATAATCAATTTTATAGACCATACCAAATATGATACTCTCCATCTCTCTCTCTCTCTCTCTCCAATGTAGAAATATAAAATATGGTAAATTTGGGAATGTGTCCTGCAATCTTTATATAATTACGGCCCCTTCTTATTTTCGTTATATATGTCCACCCCTTAACTCCAGTTAATTTAACTAATAGAAAAATTTGCCTTGTGAAGTAATGATACTATTTACTCTATCACAAAGTTAAAATAAATTTTAAGAGCACGAAAGTATGACATTAAAAATATAAAATTTCTTAAGCATTTTTAAGAATGACTCTTAACTTAAGCTACGAGTCTTCCTGGTCTGTTTCTCTCTCTAGAAACAGGGGATCCAAAGCTACAATCCCCGTGTTTTCTTGGTTTGTTTCTCTCTCTAGAAACATAATACCCAAAGCTACAATCCCCTATGTCTTCCTGGTCTATTTTTCTCTCTAGAAACGTAGGTCTTCCCAATTGCTTTATCCCCATCAGTGACGCACTTTAGGAACCTTGAAACACTGGCAGCCATGGAAGTTCCTCATTGCTCAACACAAACTCACAAAACAAATGAAGCAATGATACCCTGTTTTCAATAAAAGCATGTATATAAAGTATAAACCCTTATCATTAATCATAGTTATAAAGTGACTAAACCATAGTTAAAGCATTTAATGATAAAATAAAATTGTGCGTTTTTTTTGGTATGTGATATTTGTTAAAGTATTTAATGAGAAAAATTATATGGTGTATTTTTTTGGTATGTATTTAAGTAGGTTTGATATTTGTTGAAGTATTTAATGTGAAAATTTATATGGTGTTCTTTTTTTTTGCATGTATTTAAGTAGGTGTGATCTTTTTTAAAGTATTTAATGTGAAAATTTATATGGTGTATTTTTTTTTGGTATGTACTAAGTAGGTATGATGTTTGTTAAAGCATTTAATGAAGAAATTCATATGGTGTATTTATCATGAATTTAAATATTTTATTTTTTATAAAGAGCTTGTACCCCTAGTGTGTGTATACTTATATATTCTATTTTTTTATTATTAAAAAACAAGAAAAAAGATGCAATGGTTATGTCAAAAGATCCATTTTGGGATTATTGTGAAGAAAGAAGACATAAATTGTATTGCAATTTTAACGGTGAAGGATTTTCTACAGCGATAACAAGATTCAAATATCACTTCTCAAGAGAACAAGGGAATGATATAAAAGCTTGTCCTCAAGTACCAGATGATGTACAAGCTATGGCTGTTTCTGCGACACACAAGGTATCTTCTAAGCCTCCAAATAAGTAGAACAAAATTACATCATATGCTCAAAATGTTGATTAATGTTCGATAAACTTAAGTACATCTAATACCAGTTCCCATTTGCAATAAAGTTATTTACCATCATTGCTAAATAAGAAAAATAAAGATTTTGTTGACAAAGAAGTTGCTCGTGCATTTATTATAAATAATATTGTATTTAATGTTATCAATATACAATCATTTGTCAATATGATAAATGCATGCATCAATTTTGGTGGTAGTCACACATTGCCAAGTTATCATCTATTCGTACTAAAGTAGTATAAGAACTTAAGACAAATGTTGATGCATATGTAGTCATGTGTTCAATCAGGATGTACTTTGATGTCAGATCTTTGGTCGGATATGAAAAATCTGTTGTTCCAATTGAGGTATCTGAGCATAGCATGACTGGATTATTTCTTGAAAAGATTCTTGTTCAAGTCATTGAAGAGTTAGGACCACAAAATATCA